TTGTTTTCTTCCTTCCTTCCTTACTAACAGAATCATAGACGTTTTTATCAGGGGAAAAAATACAAAAAAAATTCCTCGCAGATGGGGATAGCTACTAAGATTTAGAACAAGATGTTTTTGGCTTACCCCCCAAAAAGCCCTGATGTGCTACTTGGAACGCAGATGTGATGGCTGGAACTCCAGCAACTGTTCTGGATCATGAGACAAACTTGAGATAAGAAGACAAGGATGACTGATAAGAAAGAAAGAGTAAAAGATGGTACAATGAGGATAAAGCCACCATAAAATCCCCATACTATCTATTCAAGACTTTTCACTGAGTAAAAAGTCATGTTTAAGCTACTTAAAACAGGTCTCTACTAGCAGCAAAATGCAGTTCCTAATACATTAAGTCTTATAGGACTTTTTAAACTAAGTATACATAAAACATTTATAAAAATTAAAAATAAATTTAAAATAATTCCAATTAATAGCAAGAATTGTTTTAAATGAACTTAATTTGTTCCAGAAGACTGTTCAAGAAGCGATTTGTTCGAAAACCAAATCCTTTTTTCTCGTTAGAAATAATGTAAATTAAATTAACCCATTCCAGACCTCCAAATTATTCTGTTTTAACCTTTCTCAAGTGCCTGTGATGGTTGTTTCATGAGCACTTTCACACATTAGCAACATCAGCACTCTTGATGGGCCCCTTTATGTTTTAAAATTGTGCTAATAATCTATTTCGCAAAGCCATACTCCGTGGCCAGATCAGACACACGAACACCTCTATCATACTTTATAATTATTTCTTTTTTAAGCTCTATCGTTGTCCTTACAACTTTCCTTTTCACTTTGTTGCTATCCCTAACCTTCTTAGGACCAGTGGTGGCTTATATTTAATAATAATAAGCATCAACAAAAGCAAAAAACCACAAAAATATTCACAGCACAATTTCCTTAGATGTTAACAAAACGAGGTTTAGCAGTAAGCTGACTCATACTCGTGCATTCTCTCTTTTGTCTGTCACCTGAGAGACGCCTGACTGATGATACAGGTAGAATGAAAGGGTTGTCAGGTCGAGAACCAAAGTTTTGTTCAACAACCAAGACATTTTTTTCTGTGAACTTGGTCAAGACCTGAACTGTTCTAGTTGGGAGACATATAAGAACCAAGGTTCAACTGTATGTTCAACAACATCCCTGTCTTCTACCCACTAGATGCCAGTAGCAAGCTATCTCAATTAGGACAATCAAAAATATCTCCAGACACTGCCAAATGTCCCCTACAGGAAACATAATCTCTGAGAAAATGTAGCTGCTATTGCAAATCATTTAGTGCTTTATCAAAAGCATTTAACTTTTCTGGTTAAATAACAGAACTTTAGAATTGTAACATTTCTAAATATCCTCTAATGTTTATTGTGGGATACAAACAATAAGTGACCTACAGATTAGATTATCTCTAAAAGTCCCTCTTAAACCTTCAAAGGATTTCACATGAGAAATATTAACAGCCTCTGTCTATTTAAGCCTATCTGCATGCTAGGTATAGTACTGAACACTTCATGGTCATTCTCTCATTTTATACTCATGACATCCACAGGGGATGACTATTAACCCCATTTTAGTATGAAACAATGTTTAAGTCTTTTAATCAACATATCAAAGTGTTTCCAGAAATACTTATCATTCACTGTAGTCATTCTAGCACTGAACTGAAACGAAAGTACCTTAACTTGCTTAGTTTACAATCAATTTATAATCAAAACATTTCAATATATCTAGCAAAAAAATAAGTTTAATTATTACAGTCTTCAAGAATAGGGGAAATGTTCACAGCAACTAACAATCAGAGAAATAATAATCAGACTGTTTCTTGAAATATTTTGAACACTATGGCCTAATGAAAGAGTACTTTTAAATTTTTTCATCCATGATTCCCTGAGTACATCCAGTAACTATTTTTCTCCTTTGCACAACTTGCCATAAACAATTCACTTTATAATTATTTGAGAATTTATTTGTAATTTTAATCTGCCTTTCAGTAGAAATTGAAGTCTGGGTTCAAATCCCAGTTGGTCCACCTACCAGAACTGAAGACCAGTTAACTTGTTCAGGCCTTAATTTCAACTATAAAACCTGCATAACAGAGCCTATCTGAAGGCCTTAAGAGTGAGTATTAGTAGGCCCTCAATAAAAATTAATTTCCCCTTCCTTTCATCCTCAAAGTAAATTAAATGTCAGTTAAGAGCCAATTCTATTTAAGCATTTGTTGAGAGTATACTAATAAGAATCAAGGGAGGATGTGATAGGGGCAGTTAGTGGACATTACACCATGTAACTATCTGGAAATCAACACTTAAAATCTCCCAAATCCATCATCACAAAAATCAGCTTAAGCCTAAGGGATTATTCCCTTAGTTTGAAATTGTAAAATATGGTATTGTTTCTCAAATAGGGAAGTATACCCTCAAATGCATTGAATGGATGCATAATTTATCACTTATATTATCTATTGTCTTCTGTTTTATTTTCCCTTGTGGTGAAAGACACAAGAACCTCTCTTGAAGCCTTCCTTCCTTTCTCCCTTCACCCAAACAACCAGCAGCCAAGAAATTTTTATTCAGATTTCTTTCTAAAAGGAGGAAGATAAATTGGAGCCTTTCTTTTCAGTGCACAAGACTGTGCGTATAAGCCATATATTTCATTAACTGTCACCCACCCAAGTGCCTATTATCCGTTTTATGGATTACTCACAATTAAGTCATTTACTAATGAGTGCAAGTTACTTAATATTACCTTACCCTTAGTAAATATTAGGAAACCAAATGTTAAAAAGAAGAAAAAAAAATATTTGGGAATTAGATTACATAATCCACTTCTTCCCTTACTGTCAAATAGAACTATATTGTGAGAATTTATTAATCAATGCATAAAATTCAACAATACAGGTAATCTTTTATTCTAAAACTTTTAATACAATAAAGAACTTCACAAAGCTCACCTGTAGAGTGGAATCAGAACAGGATCCCTAAGAACAGATCTATTGCTAACCTAGAGTATTATAAAATATGTAATGAGGTTTCACACAGAAGTTGGTAGCATAAAAGTATGTTAGTATAACTTAACTCATAATTTAGCAATGTAAAAATAAAAGTTTGTTAAGTTCTTCCAGTTTAGTTTTATTTCCTTGTATATTTAGGTGGTAGTGGAGTTTTTTTTAAATAGCTAACTTCATAAAATAATTTACTGTCACTGTTCAGACACTATTTAGCCTATTTCAAAGGCTAAATTTATTTATCTGTTCTTAAAACTGATTTCAAGAAATAGAGTAAGAGTAGTTAAAGGTTCTCCAAAAATGTTCTGGCCCTCAAATAAAATTTCAATGCCATTTCAGCAATTAAGGGTTATATGATTAAGTAAATTAAAACTAAAGGTAACCAAAACCAACTTGCTCATTAATGATATCAAAAGCAAACCACAGGAAAAAATAAAACAAAAAGACTTTCGGCCTATGAATAAATTAAAAAGATCAATTATAACCTAATTTTCAGAAGTTTAAAATTCCTATAGATACAAAGCTACCAATAACATGGTTTCTAGATGGAAAACATAGTTAGAAAACAAGTATTGTAAAGACACTGAACCTCTAAATCCAGTGAATGCCAATATCAAAATAAATAAGCAAAAAATACATTTTCAAGAAAGTCACTAGAGAGCAATGCTAAAGAAAAAACACACACCCTTTATACCAAGACAATTTCCACCTTCAAGCCAACTTATTTATGGTGAGAAGGAATGAAATAAAAAACAAAAGACAATTTAAAGTATTTAAAAACTTACCTGAAATTTTCAACTCCATCCTTTTCCTTCCAATGCTTGGAAAGGCATAAAAATCAAATTTCAGCAAAGATGATGCTTACTTCCTGTTAACTTTAGTGAAATAACTAACTGAATTAAAACTGAAAGGGTCAAAACCCTTTATATATTCTCTAATTTAATTACTATCCCTACTTGACAGAAGAAGAAACTAAGGGACGGCGAGTTAAGTAACTTGTCCAAGGTAACAACTAGGAAGTGGTACAGACATGATTTGAACTCTATACATCAAAGATAATAAACAAATTTTTAAAAAGCGGGGTGAGAAAAAGAGTAAAACTTTCTTCCAAAACAGTTTGCAAAACAAGACCGTTATGAATGAGAACAAAATGTTTATAAATATATGTAGATGTGAATGTAAATTACACAACTTTTACCCCGAGACAAGTACTTTGGTGCTATAATATTTAATTATGGTCAAAAGCCTTAAAGTAAATCAAATCGTAGTGACAGTCGACCAAGTAAATAATTTGCTGTCACTGTTCGGTCGAGGAAAGGGGGTAAGAAAAGTAAAGATGACAATAACACTGTCTTAACCCCACCTCCAGAGAAGTAACTAAATCACTGTGGGTCAGCGCCTAAACCAACAGAATTGGCCCAGTGGGGTCTCGCGAAGGGATGACAGGAGACCCTAGCAAAGGGGGAGGGGTGGCGATGACAGGCGGGGGAGCGGTAGAGACAAGGCATGCCTCCGATCTCCGAAAAAGGGGAGACTACGGGGGACAAGGGGCGGAGAAGGGGAGGCAGGAAATGTTGCCAGAGATTCCAAATGAAGTGAGAAGGAACTGGGTAGGAAGCACAAGAAGGCGGGACCCTCGGGCAGAAAGGGGTCTGTCTGGGGAAGGGGAGGCATGTCAGTACTACAGAGCCTTCCTGCCAGCTGACCCTCCTCTCCAGCCCCCCTGCCCCCGACAAACTCTCACTTTCTCAGCAACCCTAAACCCGCGGGTCACCCCCGTCCCGCTCCCCGCCCCCCACCCAAGCCGGATAGGTGGAGGGGGGAGCTTCACCCTCGCTCTCCTTGTTGGGCTGGCGGAGGAAACACCGGACAGAGCCCTGATTCGAGGACTAGAAGGCCTGGAGACGCAGGGAGGCCCAGAACCCGGGTGACAAGTCCGAGCGGCCGACAGACGCCTCACCTGACAGAAGCGTCGGCAGTAATCCCGACTGCTGATCCCGACGACGCCGCCACCGCAGCTGCTGCCGCCAGTGCCGTCGTTGCCGTCGCCCGCAACTCTAAGCCCCGCAGGGCCTGGAGGGGACTCCACAATGGCCACGAGCTCTTCTCCGAGGCGTTCGGCCTCTTGGTCGCTCTCTTCTTCCGCCATGAGGCTCTCGCCGCCCAGCGCGTACCAGCCCCTACGCCGCCGCCGCCGCTGTAGCAGCCTGGGCTAACCTCCTCCTCCTCCTCTAGTTCCCTCCCCCTTCTCTCCGCCCCAGGCCCACTGAGGCCTCTCGTCTGGGGCTCTACTTCCGGCTCCGCCCACCCACGCCCCCAGTTTTTATTGGAGAAATCTAGTCGCCAATCATTTACATGCCCGCCTTTCCACTACCATTGGCCAAGTGGGCCGTCGGTTCGATAGACCCGCTGTCAATTGGTCACTGCTGCTCGGCGGTTGCTGGGGACCGCCTACGAGCTTTGCCATAGGCGGCGCAGGAGGACGGGGCGCGGTGGGGGACACG